ACAATAACCAACAAGAAGAAAAAGAATATAAAAGAACAGGGCCAAAAAATAATATAAAGCAAGCAAGCAAACAATATATGCAAGGCAAACTAACAGTAATAAGGCAAAGCAACAGTAATATGGTAAGAAGTTTACAAACTAAGAATTTAGTTTAATCTGGTACAAGGCTGCAACAGAAGGAAGCTCATGATAATCAAATTCATTGAACAAGTGAATTATTATACAATCATTATTTGAAATGGTATCTACATATCATTCTGGCTTTCTGTTTTTCTTATCAAATACAAACATGGCCTGGTGAAGGCTGGATAATACAATGTGTGAAACTATAACAAGATGAGGATATCATTTCAGATAAATCTGTGAATAATTATGATTATACTTCATCTAAAAAATTAGCAGAAACTAGTTAATCCCTTTATATCAAGTCATGTAATGCATACTACTGGTTCCATTTTAATAACCTTACCAATTTATCATGTTACGTGAATGTAAACTTCCTGGATTTAATTACTTGGCTCAGCTAAGATAATGCACTAAAGAGCAAATTTGGATAAGTGAACGTAGCATTCTGACTTCAAGACAAAACAGATTAGGCATAGGAAACTGAAAACTGGTCTATTTTATTGGCTAGGAAGAAATCCCAGCATCCATTTGTATGCTTCTGCCTATAAATTGGGGAGGGGAAAGTATTTTGAAACCATTTCCACTATTGGATTGAAACCAACAGAAATCCTGACAAGATTTACTAAAAACTAAAAAAAAAAATTGTTAATTTTGCTAAACCTTTCTGTATGAAAAATTAGCATGAATATGGTTCTTTGTTCTTTGCATGCATGTGTATCCAAAAAGTATCCCTCTATTTAATGCTAGCAATAAAATATTCTACCCATGGCAACATTTATTCTTTATAATACTCTCATTGGGGCTTCACATAATTATCTCTGTGTCCCTTGCACTTCTCAAAACTGTCCTGGTTGCATTCACCTTAATCTTGTCTGAAAAATTTAAATGGCAAGTTTAACTTTGTGAAAAGATAGAAATTGCCAAGAGATAAATCTGCTCAACACTTAAGATTAAACTATAGACCTTGAAAGTTACAGTCCATTACTCTAGACACTCTATTAGTAATTAAAATTATTTGCATCTTGTCAGAACCACATGAAGTCTGGCTTAAGAATTTCCTGTGGGAGCATGGGACTTTGATGCTAGTGAGGTTGTGTAAAAAATTGTATTTAACAACAGGATTTACACCTCATTTCAAAACTTCAGACAAAATGTTTTATTGATATTTTTGTTTTGTAAATCAATGAAATAATGGAGTAAGTCTTAATGAACATTCATCTTTATGTTGCATGGTCTGTTGTCCATTATTGATAAAGTCTTGTGTTAGCTTCTTTTTTTTTTTATTTTGTTTTGCCGTCTTTTTTAAAATTTTGTTTTGTAATTATACATTTTCTTAGAGTTTGACCTTTGCTTGAACATACACTCATAAAAGTGACTACTAGAAATTTTAATAACCTTACCAATTTATCATGTTCCATGAATGTAAACTTCCTGGATTTAATTACTTGGCTCAGCTAAGATAATGCAACATATACAGTTGGCCATTTCTCTCCTGTTGATAAATCTCATTATGAACAACACATCAGCTCTTCACTGTACCAAAACACATGTTGGGCTGAAAGAAGCAAACTCCTAAAAATAGTGCATGATAATAAACACTGTAACATCATTTAAACATTATTTCTCTTAACTAATACATTTCTTCATGAATTTGCTGGTGGAATTTAAAACAAAAAGTTTCTGTTTCTAAAAATTCAATATAAAGCATTTTTAAGTAAAACACCATTATTTTATGGATATTGTTAATATACATTCATTTGAACAATTAAAGTCTGGCAGAATGCTACAGTAGTGAATATGAATAGAAGTTTATCCCTTCTTTCCTGTTTAGGATTGGGTTTCCAGTTCCTTCTAAAGTTTTCTCATTCTTTTTTACCCCTAGTATCCCCCTTTGTCTTAGTGGCATTATCACCTTGCTTGGGATGAATTGATTAAAAAAAAATGTGTAGGTGGGGGTTGGTGGGGGAGAGGCCTCAGAATATTCTTTGAGCACCTGAAGAAATTAAGCTATGCTATGTAGACAAAATTGTTTGGAAGAAAGTGGGACATGGTAATAGCAGAAGTTGAAAAAGTCCTTAGAGTGCATAAAGTGTCCATGAAGTTCAGGGGGTGCTGCCAAATGAAGAGAGTACCAACCCTTCTATTTCCACTAAGAACTGTACTGTAGAGTTTAAGCTGAATAAAATAGTATGTATGTGTCTGTCTTAAAATAATTTATGATGAGATTTTTAAAAATATTGGATAATATTCAAGGAATATTGGATGCTTGAGGAAAGCTGATGAACTCAGTGACCAAATAGTACTCAAAACAGCAATGATGAGGATACTAGTCTAAACAACCCATACATATAATTTTAGACTTTCCAAGATTCAGAAAATAACATATAATTTTAAACTTTCCAAGATGCAGAAAATGCATCCAAATTAAGCTGATAAATGAAAATTAATGTTAAAAAATAATTTTAAAAAATTAAGAATAGAGCAACTTACTGTTAATTTTACTGATAAATAAAATGCCTTTAAATACAGGGTGTTTGGAAAGTCTCTGTGCACTTATATTTTTATTAATAGACACATTTCAATATAGAATACAGGAAGAGAAAAGGAATGAAAATTATAAATAATGTTGAAAGTGACACCTGTTGGTATCAATACAAGCTTGGAACCTTCTTATTTTGTTTCTGAACCCCACTATCAGTTGCTTACTTCAAATAGACTGAATGAATGCTGTTGTCATTGATTTTGAGTCATCCAGTGTGTGCAGATGATCTTGATACACTGCAGATTTTGCTGCTCTCCATAGATAAAAGTCTGGTGGATTTAGATCTGGCAAGCATGGGGGCCACACGTCTTTGGAAATAATGCGGTCTGAAAAAATTTTCTCTAAAAATTGCATGGATCTGTGAGATGTGGCACTGTGAAATGGTGTAATTGTTAGCAAGCTTGTCTTGTTAGATCAATTATAACTGAGTAGTGAGTTCAATCATCCTTGGATGACCCATACTTTTGGTCTTTTGTGACAACTAAGCTAAGCTTAGTAAATCACCTGTGAGATGTGTGGGTAGTAGCCACTGGCCTATTGAAACCATCAGCAATTGATTTACACATTTGTCATCTGACCGAGGGTAGGAAGAATCTCTGAACAATAGTGCTTGCTGTTTATTGTATTCATAAAGAAAACAGGGTCAAAAATTTGACGTGTGGAAATCGCAACCCACATTTCAACCTTGAGATCATATAGGCGTATTTCATGTAAATTGTGAGGATTATTGGAGGAACATAATCTTGCATTTTGTGAAATAATGTAACCTGAGAGATGTAACCATGCATTGTCGGTAAAAATGTCACATTCAATACATTAGCAGCTTTCTCTTTGATAAATCAATTAAACAAGCAATAGTACAGTCGCTTTTCATGATCAGTTACTTTCAGTTCTTGTACCACCATTATTTTGTATGGGAAGAATTTTTAATTTTTGTCTGACAGCCTTATGAGCAGTTCCAAGACCAATACCTAGTTGCTGTGATAACTTTTGTTATTATTTTCTTAGACTCTGCATACTGCCAGAAATATCTAACTGTTTCTCCTCCGATAACTTTGCTGGTCTTCCACAATGTTTGACACCTTCCACTGATCCTGTTTCCTGAAATTTATCAACAAAGTTACAAATTGCATTGTGATGTGGAACAGGTGTATCTGAAAATTTATCAAATAAATTTTTGTGATGTCAACAAACACTCATTGCCACTTTTGTAATGTCAACGAATACTTATCACTTTCGTAATGCTCATTGTAGTAGAGACTTCGTAATCGCAGATACAACTATAGTAATGCTGTTGAACTGATGTCAGATGCCTTTGAATAACACTTGCACTAATAGTACTTGCTCAATAATACTCGCTTGAAAAGTAACCACTGAATAGTGATCCAAATAGTAATTTGTATAGTGATCACTTAGATGCCACGCTAATTACCATATATACATTTCCTTTACCATCACGTGATCTACTTATTCAAAAGGGAATTGCCTGTGTTTGCTCTCTGGTGATCTGTGTTCAAACTCCAGTGTTGGCAATGACACTTTATTCCTATATAAAAAAAAATGCTGTTGTATTAAATTTGTGTATCTATCACCTCAAAATACGGTGACATTGGGATGAAATCTGAAATATGAAAAGTCATGATTGAACAGTAACTTTCCGAACACCCTGTACATCCATGGAATACTATATTAAAAAGTATTAATTATCATTACTAAATTGCTATGGAATATATGCACCTGATTCTTTTTTTCCATGATTAACTATGATAAATGTTTAAAAGCTTATCTTGTCACTTGAAGTCAGTGAAATGAATACAAAGTGGCAAAGAAAAAGATTTTAGAGAATTAGTTTTATTTTTTGTATTTTTCAATGTCCTGTTTGTTTTAGCATTAAGGTCATTTTTTTTTTTTTTTTTTTACTACATGTATCATACCAGTATTATCAATGTTTTATTGATGTCTGCTGCCTCTATGAATTTTCTTACTCTCCACTGATGATCCCTGTTGACTAACTGGACCTCATTCCAGAAAGGGCAATGTGTACTCTTCTCACTATAGTCTACCATACTAGACTATTATGCTTCTTCCTTGTCTGGGTGTTCATTTCCATCCATTCTAGTTAGTCATTCCATTGCTGTTCATTTTTGCCTGACTTTCCATTTCTATCTATTCTTATATGTTTGTCTATTTTCATCCATTGTTATGTTTCTGTCTATTCTTGTGTCTGTCTATTTCTGTTGATTCTTGTGTATCTGTCTATTTTTGTGTATCTGTCCATTTCTGTCCATTCTTGTATGCCTGTTTCCATGCATCTTTGTCTCCCTCTGTTTCCATGCATCTTTGTCTCCCTCTGTTTCCATGCATCTTTGTCTCCCTTTGTTTCCATGCATCTTTGTCTCTCTGTCTGTTTTTGTGTGTCTTTGTCTCCCTCTGTTTCCATGCATCAGTGTCTCCCTCTGTTTCTATGCATCATTGTCTTCCTGTTTCCATACATCTTTGTCTCCCTCTGTTTCCATGCATTTGTGTGTCTTTGTCTCCCTGTCAGTTTCCATCCATTTTTGTTTCCATGTTGTCTTATTTGTCTGTTCCTTTTTCCTCTTGTCTATGTTTCTCTATTCTTTTTTGCTCATCTGTCTGCCCATTTCCTTCTACTTTTCTCTGCCTCTTCCTCTCTGATTTCAATTCCTCACTTGCTCTCTTGTTTTTTGTAATTCTTGACACTCCTGTTCACGCTCTTTATATTTTCTTTTTAAAAGCTTTCCTCAGAAATTGTCCTTCTATCTTACCAATTCAGTGCAATCCAAGTAGTGATCTTTTCCTCTGTTAA